TCATAATGCAGTCATATGGTAATTAGGATTATGGAATGAAAATTGTATAGTTAATCATGCTGTTTCCCATTCTATTTTGCAACTTTAGCTACAAATCCAGCTTTCTTACGCAAAGATGTCTTTTGGTTCACTTTCTGTTGGCATGCAAGATTTGCACATCAAATTCGTATATTCAAAAAAGTACGAATCATGTTGTTGCCTCTTTGTACATACATACCTTTGTTATCACTTAACTTTGACAACGCACTATTCAATTACTTAATTTTTTTTGAATAGAATATATGTATTTTATGTTCGCGAACATATATACGGAGCAGTTTTTATAAACTCAAATTTTAATCATTTTCATTACCCATGTTTGATATTCCTTTGATAAAATAATATAACCTTCATATAATCATGTCACCTTTTATTTTGTAAAATTATAAATATAGTTTAATTTTTAAATATATAAATTCTATTTTTGAAATTTCACACTAATTTTTATATAAATGAATTAAAAATAATTACAGTAAAATATCGTACACCCAATCGAAAAATTTAAATTGAGACCGAGAAGTACTTCATGGGTAGTAGGTACTCAATTGTTTGGAAATATATACTTCCTCCCATCCAAAATAAAATTTAGGTAATATATTTTGTAATCTACTCCAAAATAAATTTTTTTATTCTTCTTCTTACTATTATACGAAAAATGAATATGTGGCTCATATTATTTTCCCAATCTTCTAAATAAATTGTGGAACAACATTAATATACATTGTATGAGAATATCGTTTTTTACTAGCGTGTATATTTTAACTAAATTTTCCCAAATACACCATAAGTGCATCTGCAATGGGGCACCCTCAGCTCTTGCCCCGCCTATCGCCTGTCCCTCCCCAAAACACCTGCAATGGTATTGCTTCGCCTCTTCGTTTCTATTACATTATTCATCATTTTTAATTTAAAATTTTTATATAAAAAATACATATGATTCAAATAAAAATGTTAACAAGGTCACTAATTATTTTAAAAAACGCTAAAATAAAATTAAAATTTTAAAGATGAGAAAGATGAAGAGATAAATTAAAAAAGAGAGTGCGATGTGAATAAGTAAGGGATAAGCTAGAATCGGAGAATTGATAGATTTTTAGAGTTGAAAATAAAAAAATGGATCCGACACAGCGGTCCAGCTGGATCAGTTTTAAAAAAGATCGCTATTCAATAGTTAAAAAGGGAAGTAAGGGAGAAACTCTGAAGTAAGAGTAAAATATTGTGAAAGAATCAAAGTAGGACTAACATTTTATTATCTCTAAAATAGGACAAAAATGTACGGAGTATTTTAAAGAAGATTTATGCTATTCCATAAAAAATCTGCATTGAAATATTTCTCGCCACAATATCACAATGTTACCAAACAATATCGGCAAAGCTATAATGACAAAGATGTACACTACTCTGTAATGCATATGGATAAACATGGCACTGAGGTATGCCAATCAACATGTTACTCTTGTCCCCTAGTAATATTTCACAATGTCTTTTTTATCCGTTCTAAAATATATAGTTTTACTTTTCATATTAGACAAACTTTTTGTGTGGCTTACACAACTTCTCTCTTTCTCTTTTGCAGTACGATCTCACAATTTTACTTTGTTTAGTTTTCATACCAGTCGATCAATTATGGAATACTATTGTGGGACGAAGAAAGTATTATACTCCATAATGTGAATAATATAATGAGTAATGAAATGTCAAAACCGAATGTAATTTACAAATATACAATGTCATGTTTGCATCAAGTATCACATTTCAAAAAAAAAAGTTGAATGGCAAGACAATCCAAAATTATTTCCGGACATGGGTGGAAGTGTGGATCAAATTTCAACAAAACTAATGCGGATTATTAACATGTTTGGCATCAACTTAAATTGTAAGGAAACTAATACGGAGTATTAACTTAAATTGATTCAATTACGGATTATTAGTTTTGAATTAGGACCATCGCCATAGCTGCACATTCAAGATTGCTATTAGTACTAATCAACACATTTGTCGGGTCTTTTTTTCAATTCAAACATAATTTAGCTAGGTTGTATTTTGTAATAAAAGCATGTCACTTTTATTTAATTGATAAGGAGTATGTTTTGATCTTATCAAGGTATTTGTAAACAAACAAACAAACCTAAATAACTTTGCAAAAAAAATAATCTAGATAAGACTAAAATAGATCAGAAATAAAACTCTCTCCGTCCCAAAAAAAATTTACTACTTTGATTAACGTGCAAAACCTCGTAGATTTTAAAATGATTTTATTTGCAAATTGATAATTTAAGGTAATAACACATAGAAAAATTATATTTAAAAACTACATCACAAATTCTACAAAATAAGATGTGGCAAGAATATTTTTTAATCAAATTATCAATGAAAACATGCAAACAAATAAGAGTTATCGAGAGGACATAATAGTAAACAGGAAAGACTTTTTGAGACGGAGGGAGTATCAAAATAAGAATTTCTATATTTTCGTTCTCTGTAGCAAAAAATATAAGTGTTAGCCTAAAAAATTCTTTGCAATTTCACATTATGTGTTGTCATTTGTTAAAGTTTTTTGGCATTATAAATGTTATTTTAGTTTTGAATTATGATAGAATAAAGTAAAATGTTTTTTAAACTATTTGTTCTTCTTTTGATAATTAAGTATCAAGAACTCAATACAATTTTCAATGTTCATTGTGCAGTGGATCATCTGAAAATAAATAGTCACTCTATATCTTAAATATTGTGGTCATAGTGCATACATCCGACCACAATTACCCCGTAATGGGTGAGAGTCTTTAATGCACTAGGTAATATTTTGTTGTTGTATAAATATTATTTTGGTAATTACGAAAAAACTCCTTAAATAAGAGTAAAACTAATGTGAAAAATATGAAAATAGTGTGTTAGTCTGATAAAACTTAAATAAGAGTACACACAAACATTCTACAATATAAGCTACCACGTACAGTCGTACACTACCATAAGTTGTACTACCTCCCTTTCTCAAAAGAGTTCTTCTTTTGACTTTGGGAGAAAATAAGGAAGTGTTAAATTGTAGTTGATTTTCTAATTTTACCCTTGATGTGATGAGTAAAAGTAAGATGTGATAGTTTAGTTGTTAGTGAAAAAGTATAATGTGATAGGTAGGGTATGAAAAAGTAGGGGTAAAAGTGGTTTTTTAGTAGAAAGGGGAAGTGTTTTAAGAAAAACAAAAAAAAAAATGAAAGAGGAAGAGTTTTAAGAAACGGAGGGAGTACTAGCTTGTATAGTCGCCACCCTACCATATACCACCATTGTGAGGCCCCCGCTCACTGTCGTAAGTCACGAAAGCATTGCTGAAAACATTACTACCACATTATTAGAGCACTGGTAATACCTTTGAAGCCCCGGGGCTTCAAACCGGGGCTTCAAAATTTCTCTCTCTGCCACGTCAGCTTTAACTTACACCAAAAATTTACTGGAAATGGGTTTGAAGCCCTGGGGCTTCAAACTGGGGCTTCAAACCTTTATTTTTTACATTTTTAAATATACATCTTCTAAATTTAAATTAATAAATTTAAATTAATTTATTATTTAATAATACTGAAACACGAATACAAAAAAATACATTCATTAAAATAAAAAAACGACAATATTAAAAAAGATATATTAATTAAAAAAACTAAGGTAAATTATATTTCGCTTTGATCTCTCTTTGTCTTTGCTCGTATATCATCCGTTTGAAACCCGACATCGTAGAAAGGTCAGTTTCCATGATTTTAAATAAAAAAAATTACATTCATTAAATTAAAAAATTGCATGCATTATAAAAAACTACATTAATTAAATAAAAACATTACATTCATTAAATAAAAAAATTACATTCATGAAAAAATAAATAAAATACTTGAATAATAATTTTTTTAAAAAAATGATAGATAGAGAGAGTTTTGTATTTGTGTTGAATTTTTTTAAAAAATTAAATTTAATTTATAGAAAAGAAAAGAAGAAAAAAGAGGGAGAAAAAGGAAGGAAGAAGGTGTGATAATGCCTTCAAACCGCGTCAAACCTTTAACGCAAGTATTTTAACGCCCTTTTAATGAGGAAGGGGGGCGGTGTTTCACGCCCCCACGAGTCAAAACTCGTCTAACGCCCCTTGGCGTTAGCAGTATTTCCACTGCTCTTATCATACTTCTAATTATAAGATTCAAAATAGGTCACTCTTGTTTGAATATTTGCATGCCTTTTTACTCCTATCTAGCCAGGGACTTCTTTTCATTATTACGCGGTTCACAAGATCCTTTTCTAATAAAAAATTAAGTTCTATTTCAAATTTGAGTTTCAAAATTAAAATTTAAATTTTGAATTTTAAATTACAATGAGAGATATATAAATTTTAAATCTAGCTTTGTTATGAATTAGAGAGCTTTGCCTCAAATCGAAATCCAAATTTTTTAAAAGAGAAAGAATTTTGAGTCAAATCTGTATTTGAAATTAAAATTGAAGTTCCCGAACTTCTCATAAAGTTATTTTTCATAATTAGTGTTCCAGAATTAAAGTCCCTTTTCCATTTTTTATTGCGAATTACACTTTAAGAGAATACTGTATTATGTTGTTTAACAACCTTATATTTTCATGTATTGTATTTTTGTTTGAAAACAACTTTTTCGATTAGAATTAATATTTGGATAAAATTTAAATAATGTAGATTAATTGCAAAAATGTAAATGCTAAAGACTATCGTCAGATAGTTTTTTCAAAACACCTCCCGGGAGCCTCAATCATTTTTCTCGAATAACTTCTTTAAACACATCATTAAGAAAATAGTCCGTAAAAGTTTAAACATATTTTAAAGAGAAATTTATCTAAATATGACTAAAATATAATGACTTTCACAATATAGGATCATATGTTTTTATTTCCCAATATAGGACCTTTGGTCATTATCAAGTAGTCATTATTCAACTAAATGTTCATCATTACTGGACATTATTCCTTCCACTAGGTCATTATTAAGTCCTAATTAGGGAATAAAAAAGTTTAAGTCCTACATTAAGAAAGTCATTATGTTTTAGTCCTATTTAGTGCAAATTTCACTATTTTAAAATCTGACTTAATTTGCACGATTTTTTTTAATCAAAATTTGCACGAAATTAAAGTAAGACTTTTAGGTACGGGAGAGTGACTGATGAAAAAAAAAAGAAATCGGAACGTTTTCTCAGAAGTCATTGGTGACGGCTTCGTGGCATAGACTTGGAAGGAATGCCCTTAGAAATATCAGCTGCCACCGCCGCCGCGGCCGCCGTTCGGTGAAAGCCCAAACATCCAAACAGTCCCTGCTTGTACGGCAAGAATGTCTTCCTTTTCATCTCCTCGGACGCCGCCCTGTTCAGAGTGTAGTGCAACTCGTGAGCCGAGAGCGGCCCTCTCCGCCGCGACGACGTCGACCCCACGCTCTCCGTCGACCGGAAACTCGAATTCTTCGCGTCTTCTTGAAGATGCCTCTTCTGCAGCATTGCGTATCTGTTCATCATCCCTCTCCCGCTCTCTCGCCCCTCCGACGCGCTTCGGAAGAGTAAGAGATCTTTTAGTCTCAATTTCCGGTACCACATCGACAAGAACGATGATGAACAGTCTTTTTCATCTTGAATTTCGATTTCTGGTTCGTCTTGGTCGATTAGCGATTGGGTCGCCCGGAACGGGGTCGGGGACAGAGATCTTGTCGATTTGCGCCGAGAATTCGAACGGCGGGCTGGGGGCTTACCGCTATTTTCGCTTCCCCGTTGGATTGATGAACCATCGCCGTCCTCCGGGCTCCGGGACGGCGCGGCGGGGAAGAGATCGGAATCGTTCTCCTTCCCCTGCGGCGGAATCAAAGGCTTAATCTTGCCGCCTTCGAAGAGCTCATCCGCCGGAGAGATAGAGGTCTTCTCCAACTGCCCACTAAAATCAAAAGCGAAACCGTCGCCGTTATCCTCTTCCCAGTCAAACGGAGCTGTATTGCCGGTGCTAGTTTCGGCGGCGGCGGATACCATGGCGGGGCTGGCGGGGGCGCTATAAAAGGGAGTCCCGAAACGCAGAGGAGTAAAAGGCGCGGTGATATTAGGCGAAGCGCCGAAATGTAACTCCGCCGGGGGCAATGATGTCATCACCTCCATTTCTGCTGACGAATAATGATATCTTAGAGAAAAAGAAAGAAACAGAATGGATGGAGAGATGATTTGAGCAGAGCAATTTGCAGTGCTACAGCCACCATCCTGTCGCTTTATATATACTCCCTAGATACTCCCTTTTAATTCCCCTACAAACATTTCCACTTTTTGAAATATTTTACAAACTTTTTTAAAAATATTTTATTTACATATTATTATGAAAATAAAAAAAATTAAATTAAATTTATTAAAACCATATGATTTTTTTTATAAATTTTAACATGACAAGAATATATTTTATATTATCACTAAACATATACAAATAAAATTGTGTAACATGTATTCCGTGTCCCACACTAAGGCTTAAGGCATGATCGGTAGAACGGGATTAGCCAATCCCGCGACGTGAGAGGCGCGTTCAATTTTTCAGGGAGCAACACGCCGAACTATTTATGGAAACTTATTCCACTTCGTTAAATACGGTATTATTCAAACGATTTATTTTGAATATTAATTTTCATTTACGCGTTACTTATCTCTGGTGCATAATATAAAAAAATTCTTTTCACTTTGTGAATGTATTTCCATTTGGTAACCGCCTAAACCGTTATCAGAACCCAATGATTTCTAGGTTCAAAATGAACTGTAGGTCTGGTTGGCTTTATTTTTCAAACAAAGAATATTCTTCTCACATTGAAGTTAGTAGTTAAACTTGACAAAATTTCACTATGATTTGCATTAAAAAATTTTTGTGTTACTGAAATTAATACAAATTAATTAGTTTGAAACATGATTTCAAAATATATTGCATTTATTATAATTTTTTATGTATAATTTTAATTATTAATGATGAATATATGGTATTGAAGAGATCAAGATAGTAAAATTCCAAATGAAACCAATAATAATAATGTTACTATAACACTAAAGTTGACTATTTCAAGTGAAAGGATGACACCCCATCCCTGAGGATCCCTCAGCACCAATAGAACAAATATCTAGTAATTTTTCGTAGAGATAATAATTATCAGTGAAAATTAATAACAGGTGGAAAATAATTGATCAATTAGTGTCAATTTTCACATGAATAAAACATCATGGCCGGTCTAAGGGTGCGCTAAGGTGTGCTACCATTCCTACCAACCAAGATCCATTTTTTTCACGGGCTCAACATTGTTAACTTTTTAGTATATTTATTTTGATAAAAATTTTAAAAATATAATTTTTAAAGTAGTTATCACGATATTTGACTACAATACAATAGTTTTGTTATGTGTATTTTTATAACATTAGTTAGTGTCTTAAAAAAATAATTTACATAATTTAATTTGTAGTCAATGCACACTTTTTTTTGTCTTTTTGAGGACTATGGCATTGTGTAACATGATCCATATTCCATACTTCCATGACACCAAGGGAGTTTACATGCTCCGTTTAGCCGTATAGGTCAATCGGTGTTGACTTCGGTAAATTTCATGTATAGTTTGGGGTCAATTTGATGTGGATGGAAGCTGATACGGCGAAAATGCGAAACTGCACATTTTACCGTTTTATTTAAAACGATTATATTTTGGATTTTTGACTGTTAACTTTTTGAATTTTAAATTAAGGATCTGGAGTATTTAAGTATATACGTAGTATATTACTCGGTATTTATTACCCAGTGAGTTGAAGAACTCATATACTCCCTCCGTCCCTAAATAGATTACAATTTTTTTCTCTCTCTCCTCTCGATAACTTTTGTTTGTTTATGCGATTTGATAAAATAAAATATTCGTGTCACCTCTTGTTTTGTAGAACTTTTGACGTAATTTTTTTAATATGTAATTTTTATATCTTCTTGATATACCAATTTGTAAATAAAATAATTTCAAAAAGTAGGAAATTTTACTCCGTAACCCGCAATTTGTAATCAAATTGGGGACGGAGGGAGTATATATATAAATACTAGTATTATAACCCGTGCGATGCATGGAATGAAGCAAAGTATTTTTGATTCTGTAATTTTTTTCAAGACTATATTTCTTTTACTTTTAACTCTTGGGATTCATTTGGTTGGGTGAAAAAAAATTTTTTACAAAAAATTCCATTCAAATTTTATACATTTTATTATGAAAGAATTATTTGGGAGGAAATTCTCTGTATATTGAATTGGTTTGTGAAACTCTAGTCTTGAATACAAAGATCTAACCCTCTTTATATAAGAAGAGGGTAAAGTAAACAAGGAAATTCCTATTCCTACTAAAATAAGAATTAAACAAACTAGGAAAGATACTAAATACTAAACATAATCCAACTAGGAAAGATACTAAACCTAATCCCAAAGGGATTCGATTTCCTTCTTCAATCCCTGCTTCCTTCTTCTGTGTCTAACACTTTCCTTCTTCCATCCTGCTTCCTTCTTCTATCTCTAACATATTACATATATTTTAGGACATTACCTTTGAGGAAAAATAGTCTCAGGCCAGGGGAATTTCAGTTCATACTCATTCGTCGAGTCTTGTAATTTTAGCAACAAAGCAAAATCTCCCCCCCCCACACCCCTCTGCCACTTCCCTCGGTGCACCCTTTCTAGAAATCCTAGACAATTAAACTATGCAATGGAAATTTGGTACAAATGACCATGTATAAAAAAAAACTATGATGCCTAAAGTATTATTTAAGTTGTCTAAAATGATCTTAACTTTTTATTCAAATATCAATAATGTATTCATAACAAAAATTCCTAAGTCCTAACAAACAAATGAATTTTAACTTTTATTTCGGTAATAAAAAACATGGAACTCCTATTTTGGTATATTTTCAATGTTTTGCTCCAACTTTAATCTTTTTCCCTAGTTTCTTCCATCTTTTTTTATTTTTTCTAGCTCATTCCATTTTTTCTAGTTCTTTCAAAACTAACCTATAAATGAGGAATTGAAAAAGAAAATAAAAAAAGAAATAGCAAGAGGGAATTAAAATAGAAAAAATAAACAAAAAAATACTCTAATAGAAAAGATAAAGTGTAGCCATGAAGTGAGGTGACAATTTTATTATATCAATATAAACCTTATTATACGCCGTAATATGATTCTAATAAACTATTAGTGTGGAAATGGTAAATGACAATATCATATTTATCTTTTACTAACTTTTTCTATAACATAATTCATTTCATATATTATATCATAATGGTAATTAAATTTATTATATTTCCATTTATAAGTTTATTATGTACAATACTACCATATTTATCTTTCACTAATTTTGATCAATAATATTATTAATTTTATTACACCATAATAGCTAAATAAATTCATTTCTATTCATTAATAAAAAAGACAATTACTCGTAAATTGCTATCAAGTAATAATTTCTTTATTTGTTCTAAATATGTTTAATCTAAATTTATTCAATAATTTGAGACAATTCTAAGTATATTATGTAAGAACAATTAAGAATAGTTTATTCTACTCCTTACTATAACTCTAATCGAGTCACATTTTTTCCTAAATTCGTCACTATTTAACTTGTCGAAAACAATTGCCACATAATTTGTCAAAATATTAATACTTATTTCCTTATATATGGATAATTTTATTCTACATCAATGCTAATAATTTTATTTATACACTTAATATAAAGTGAAAAATGAAATTCTATAAAAATTATACTTTTATTTTTTAAATCTTAAAAACTTAAATTTATTGTATACTGTTATTACAAATGTCTTTTGATGTTCTCCATGTCCTTTGATTATCTCCTTAAATTAGACCTTTGCCTTTCCCCCTTGTAAGCCTATATATAGAGGCACTATATGTTGAAATGGATGATTCATCTCTTTAGTCTCTCATTGCATTCCTTCTGTTTTCATTCTCAATTGCACTTTGATCTTTCATTTGTGTTCTTATCAAGGTATATCTCTATCATTTTGTTCATAACAATATTCGTATTATCTTTATTTCTAACACGTTATCAGCACGATAACAAAAAATTCTAATTTTATAGAAATTACTCCCCTTCATCTTTTGTCCTTATTGATATTCATGTTATAGATATATACATATACATATACACTTATTTATTTTATTTTTTTAGTGAACTTGAAGATATATTGAATCTAAAGATTTATCCTAAATATATTAGAGAAACATCGGTACCGAAAGAAAATTAGATCTCTATTAATTATGTACGATACTGGACAATATGGAACCAAAATGAAACACGTGTTAATGATATTATTGCATATGCTATGGCAATGGATGTAATCAATAAAAGAGATTACATGCCTAAAACTCAAAGAAGAGTACATGTAGATAGTACATAAATGATTTGCCAAAATGGAAAAAGATCCTGAAGGTCGAATATAAGTCACTCGATAAACGGAATATTTTCGGACCTGAAGTCTGAACACCCATAGACGTCAAACTAATAGGTTTAAAATGGGTGTCTCTGATAAACAGAAATAAAATGAATGAGATTGTGCGATATGATGTACTACTTGTAAGGCAAGGGTTTTTCCCTAATCTCAGGAGTTGATTATGAGGAAACGTATTCTCCACTAGTGCATGCAATATCCTTTTAGAATTTTAATTGGCCTCACAATCTCAAAAAGACTTCAAATAAATGATATAGATGTTGTTATAACATAATTATAAGGGACACTTGAAATCGACATCTGTGTGATAATAATCCCTGAAGGATTCAAAATGCCAAAAGAAATAAAATTAATACATCGAGATATGTGTGAAGAGATCGTGGAATGATTTTAAGTAATTTGGTCGTATGTGGTACAATTGACCCAGTGAATATCTCGAAAAAGAAAGATACAAATTTGAAATCAACCTATGTGTTGTCATTCAAGGATCACTCTCAATATTCTTTATTATAGCAATTTACGTCGACGTATAAATATCATTAGATCTCCTGAAGAGATAGAGAAAACAAAAAAAACTGTTGAACTCTTGAAGAGAGAATTTGAGATGGAAGATCTTAACATGACATAAATTTTACTTTGGATTGTATTTTAAACACCTATATGATGGCACATTTGTCCATAAGTTAAACTACATCCAGAAGATGTTAACACGTTGAAATATGAAT